CACTACTTCTTTCATTTCTTTATTGAAACCTACACTTTAAGAAAGTACAAAACTTTCATAAATGAGCCTCTTCATTTTACTACTTACTTCAAAACATAGGAGAGATGGGGTAGAATTCTGCTTTCACTTCCCACTGCTACTACCATCCATCTTTCAATAACATTTTCATCTTTCAAAGTTTATGTTATTTTGTATATTGCTGTTGGCATTGTTAATGACAGTACTCATTCTGCTGCTATTATAGTAAGTAGATCTTAGTGATTAGATATCCCGGATCTACAACAGATAAGTAAGGTCAACCACAGTTCTCTACTTACTATCTATATGACCTTGGCAAGTTATTTTAACTCACTCAGACATGATCACACTGTCTGTGAAGTAAGGATAGCAGTAAGAGCTTTCTAATATTGTTGTTCAGTAAAAATAAGAATCTAGAAGTGATATCCACACTAGCAATTCAATAACCATTGACAATTACTGTCTCTATCTGACTGGCTCATAGTTATGAATTTATTTTCATGTGTCAAGCATCAGACTAAGTCCTTTAGGTACATAATTCTATTTAGCCTTATAGCAATCTTAAGAGATACAATACATTAGTATTATTATAGTGCAAGTTCTAACATTCTTTAAATGCTTAGAGTGCGCCAGCCATTCTTCTGATTGTTTTACTTCTAATAACTCAGAGGTTCTGTTAATATTCCCATTGTTTAGATGAGAAATGAGGCACAGAAAGTTACATGAAGTGCTCAAGGTCACTCAAGTAATAAGGTGTCAGATGAACTGTGAACCCAGGCAGTCTGACTCAAGAATCCGTGCTCTGAACCATTACCTAGTGATGTCCTTTTTAAAGACAAGGAAGCAGAAATTTATGGAAGTTAAACAACTTACCAGTTACATAATTTTTAAGCGACAAAGCTGGGGTCCTAAAAAGATTACTGTAGCGTTCTGTCAGCTTTGTCCGCCCTCTCCTACCATCAGTGACTTTGACCCCTTCCCCCTCGGCATGCCCTCATCTTGCCTGAACTTACATGGATTTTAACCACTGCTTGCTTCCTAGCTTTTGGATCCCTCTCCCTTCAATCCCAGTAAGCTTCACATTTACCTCACTTTAGTGGCATAATTGTCACCCTCTGTGGTCACCCCAAACTCAGTCATCTCCAAGATGTCACAGACTGATGGATTTCACCCTTCACCTTCTTGGACTACCTAAACTTCCTCAAAGTCTCCTCATCCAGCATCCCACTCTAGATGTTCTTCCTTCTCCTAAGCACCTGAGCCACTATGTTCACCCATTTTCAATACTTCCTTAGTTTCTGGTACATAAGCTAACCTCTTCCATTTGTGAAGCTTTGCTGAGCCATTCCTTGTTTCTGGAAAGTCTTTCTTCTTTTTTATATTAATCTTTCAAAGTTTCCCTACCAAAAGTTTGTGACTTGGTCAACTCAGCTGAGATTAATGTTTGTCTCTGTTGTTTTCTATCTGTACTTATGTTGTGGCCCTTGGCATACATTGTCCCTGGACTACTTGTCTCTCTTTCCCTCTCCTACTACACTGAGGTCCACTATCTTCTTTTTCTAAGTGCCTGCTGACATCATGTGAATGAAAGAGCACAGATTTTCATGTCAGAGAGCCGTGGATTTAAATCTGAGCTCTACTACTTGCTTTTTTACTTGGCCACACTTTGTTTCAATTTCCTTATTCATAAAATGAGAGGAAAGTCTAACAACTCAGAGAGTTGTTGTGAGGATTAAATGAGTCAATATAAATGGAGAAATCACAGTAAGTGACCTGTAAATCTTACCTTCTCCTCCACACAATACTCTCCTCTGAATACAGTCTCACAGAAGTTTGAAGTGTGAGCGCATGAACGAATATTGAATGGGGAGACTGCTTTAATTTTGGCTGTATGGCAAGACAAAGTGTAAAGGCTTTCCATTTAGGGCAAGAATTTTGACAATCAGAATTTTAATTACTTAGATATTAATTAGGATAATAATTATATAAAATTAATAAAAAGATGAGGTTTGTAAAGTTTGATGGATTCATAACTAGTTACAAGAAAATCAATGGATTTTGAGGTGCAGTAGCCACTGATAATGAAAAAAGGATAGACAAAGAAATTAAGAGGCTGGGCACAGTGGCTCACACCTCTAATCTCAGCACTTTTGGAGGCTGAAGTGGGTGGATTACTTGAGGTCAGGACTTCAAGACCAGCCTTGTCAACATGGCAAAACGCAGTCTCTACTAAAAATACAAAAAATTAGCCAGGTGTTGTGGCATGGGCCTGTAGTCCCAGCTACTTAGGAGGCTGAGGCATAAGAATTCCCTAAACTCAGGAGATAGAAGTTACAGTGAGCAAAGTTAATGCCATTGCACTCCAGCCTGGGTGACAGAGTGAGACTATGTAGAAATTAAGGAACTTAAAATTAAAACCATTTCAATTATGATATGATATTGTATAATTAGAAATATTATTCAGTGCAAGAATGGAAAGTAAACATTGAAAGTAATCTCTCAGCGTTTTATTTCAGAAATAATAGTGTGATATCAAGTGGCTTTGTGAAGATTATTATTTAAATTTACAGTTAGAATGCTGAAGTATATTACTAACTACCTAATATATGCATAATCAGGTATAAATCCTAGTGGCAAAACTCACTGGGTTTTAAATAAAACAGAACTGTATCTGAAACAGGTTTTCTCTATTTAAAACTAGCTAATAATCTGAACTAGTGATTTAACTTATCTTATGTTTAGTTTTTCCATCTATAACATTGGTATATGAATAATATCCATGTTGCTGGGTCGTTAGGTGCTTGTGGAGTTTATGGCATGTGAAGTGTTAATATGGTATCTAGCAAGTCGAATAAGCACTCATTAAATTTAGCTCTGACTATAGTGTACATTCAATGAATAGTTCATACTTGATTCAGCTTTACTAAGGGGGTGATTTTTCTCACAGGGAACATTTGACAATTACTGGAGACATTTTTGGTTGCCATAACTTAGAGGAAGGGTGTGTGCTACTGGCACCTACTGAATAAATGCCAGAGATGGTGCTAATCATCATGCAGTACACAGGACAGCACTCCACAACAAAGGGTTATCTAGGCCCAAATTTCAATCATAAAGAGGTTAAGAAACTAAGCTTAAAAATGGGTAATATTCATCTCTCACCAGCTTATCACAAGACAATCGTATTTACAAACCCTTCAAAAAGGGAGAGAAAGTGAGGATAGAACGTTACATTCATTGAAAATAAAATTTATGCATCATACCTCTAAAACAATTATAATAAAATAACACACACATACTAGATAAACCTGGATAAAAGATTTCCCTCAAATCTTAGCATGCAAAATTATCTTTGGCTTAAAACAAAAGGACATCTATTTTGGGCAAACAGCACAGTGGAAGAATGGAGCAGAATATTCACTTCATGAGTGACCATTTATCTCAGAGGAGAGAAGCCACTAAGGGAAGGCGGATACAGGTTACACATATTTTTACACAAAATTATTTGACTAGTATATGATCAGTAGAAAAGAAGTTGTTTTAATTCATTGCCATTTGTGATGTCATTTCTCACCTTTCTGTAGCAGATTAATAATAATCATAGACGGTCCTTTTCAGAAATCCAGGTCTTTAACAGTAACTCTTAAAAGTGCCCAGAAGAAAGATTAGCGCTTCTATGAGGCAACCAACATTGACTGAATTTAAGGCTCATGTTTGACTTGATAAAATTTGCCTAAAATACATAGATTAGCTCATTGGAGTTAGCATGTCCCAAAACATCTTTACATCTTTGCAAGAAAATAGTTATAAAGTAATCCAGCTAAAGGAATACTTTTCTTACTTGGTATAAACATTATAGAAGTGTTTGTTGTTGTTATTGTTGTTTTTGTTGTTGTTTTTGAGACACAGTCTCACACTGTGGCCCTGGATGGAGTGCAATGGTGTGATCTTGGCTCATTGCAACCTCTGATTTCTGGGTTCACGCGATTCTCCTGCCTCAGCCTCCAGAGTAGCTGGGATTACAGGCGCACACCACCACACCCAGCTAATTATTTGTATTTTGTGTAGTAGAGATGGGATTTCACTATGTTGGCCAGACTGGTCTCGAGATCCTGACCTGATGATCCGCTTGCCTCGACCTCCCAAAGTGCTGGGTTTAAAGGCATGAACCACTGCACCTGACCAGAAGGTTTTTTTTTTTTTTTTTTAATGAAGGAATGGAATTTTTACTTATAGATGGATACAAGCTTTGGCATGATGTTTCTAGCATTTTTTTCTTGAATGATTGTATGTATGCTGCTCTAGATGTGTCTCAAATAGAAGAAAAAAATGAGAAACCTGAGAAAGGTATACTAAGTGTAATTATTTGCATTATTTCGAGAACATGTGCTAAGGGCAATCAAGAGACTTCTTGGGACATTTAAAATACGAGTTCGTTTATAAAATTTCTATGTATGTACAGCTTCTAGGAAAGCTACAAATAGTTGCATAATGTGAGGAATAACTTTGTTTATGCATTCATTATTTCCAGTAACTCTTGAATTATTACCAGCTGTGTGTCAGGCACTGTGCTGAGTGTCAAGGATACAATGGATGTGAAAAACAAGCTCTTACCCTTAAGCAGTTTACCTTGTAGACTGAAATAGAGTCCAAAACATATACTGATTTATTAAATATTTACAATTTAAATTAAGTCTATAAAGAAAATAATAGCATATTTCTTGGCTCCTTATGAATAGTAAACATATTGACTCCTTCTTTTATATTTTGGTGCATCAAATGTAGAATTTCTAGATGGCCCATGTGTGTATTTACAATGGCTAGCCAGTCAAATCCAGAACACATATTAGAAAAAACAATCCACCTTAAAATTATTGACACTTTTTTATTACTTTAAATGTTTAATTTCACTTGAGAAATTTATATATGTGTATGTAAGATGCTGAATCATTTAAACAGTGTTCCCATCTTTTCTATTTCAGGGTTTTTGGAGCTGCCATACTTCTTACCTCTACCCTGAATATGCTAATTCCATCAGCAGCCAGAGTGCATTATGGATGTGTCATCTTTGTTAGAATACTGCAGGGACTTGTTGAGGTATGTAACTTCAGGGTGAAGACGTTTTAAGATTGGCATGTAGTTGAGAACCACCAGTTTATGTTTGTCTTTATCTGTAAATAAATATATTGTATTAGGTTGTATCTAAATAGTTAAAATAAAAAATGAAACGCTGAAAATATTAGGCAATCAGATATTTTGTCCATAAATGATATGAAGCTATGAATGTCACTACTTACCTCCTTCTCTCTAGAATTGAGTGGGATTAAAGAAATATTTTAATGCCTATTTGACTTAAAAAACAGGGACTTTTGTTACTGTGTCATGATAAGAATTTTAGAGTTTGTCCTTTGCTGGTGCTAACCACGAATTAATATCTTGGGAGTTTTATGCTAAGTAAGTTCCTGATGACCTTGAATCATGATGTGAGTTTTCACTTAAATATTTCATTGGATACATTTTTGGGTCAGCTAATTCTAATGATCAAAACTTGCTCCATCAGTCTGCAGACTTTGAAAGAATTCTACTTAAAAACTCAAGTTTGGCTTGCCAATTTCCCTTTCTTTTTCCATGGAGTATAATGGAAATAGATAAATAATGTAAACTATTAAGGCACATAAAAGCAAAACAAAATAAAACGAAACAAAAAACAAACAAACAAACAAACCCTTTCTCATACTATACAGCCATAAAAGGAAATGAGATCATGTCCTTTGCAGAGACACAGGTGGAGGTGGAAGCCATTAGCGTCAGCAAACTAATGTAGGAACAGAAAACCAAACACTGCATGTTCTCACTTGTAAGTGGGAGCCGAACAATGAGAACACATGGACGCAGAGAGGGGAACGACACATACTGCAGCCTATCGGGGAAGGGCAGGGTAGGGAGAGCATTAGGGAAAAGAGCTAATGAATGCTGGGCTTAATACCTAGATGATGGGTTGCTAGGTCCAGTAAACCACCATGACACACATTTACCTATGTAACAAACCTGCACATCCTGCACATGTACCCCAGAACTTAAAAAAATAATAATAAAACCCCAAAACCCCTCTCTCCCTCCAAAAATATATATATAAAAAAGATAGATTCAAAACAATAGGAAAAATCTAACTATTTTAAGGTCTTAAAGGTTAGACACTGCTTTCAGGAAGTGTGAGCTCCAAGGATTTAAACTTCACTTTTCTCTGTATAGATATTTATATTTGGGAGTTACTGAATTTAATGCCCTACAAAATGATCTCCTGAATTTTTTCAAACTGTTCAGAATTGCAGATAAATTGATTAATATACAGTCTTTTCTTTTACCTTAATCAGAAAAAAAAAAAAAAAAAAATGGAGGTGGAAAGAAGTCTGAAGGCCAGGGAGGATTTGAACAAAATACTAAAAAGACTCTTGTTGCTAAATGGTGATGGTGATGTGTATCTTCCTCCATCACAGGGTGTTACCTACCCAGCATGTCATGGGATATGGAGCAAATGGGCCCCACCTCTAGAGAGGAGTAGGCTGGCAACCACTTCTTTCTGTGGTGAGTATTGTGTGCAGATGCAGCTGTGGTGGGTAAAAGTTTAGGAACAACTTGAATAAGAATTGACAATTTGGTAAACTCACCTGTAAAACCATCTGGGTTTTGTGTGCACATCTGTGAGTGGTAAGGTTTTTAACCACCATTTCCATTTCTTTAGTTTTATTGTTTTGCTTAAATCTTCTATTTATTCTTGTGTCTGTATTTTTCTAGGAATTGATCCATTTCATCTAGGATTTCAAATATATTCATGAGTGGTTTTTATAATACTCTTA